GACCATTAAATTGAACATACTGTGGCCAAATGAGTTTTGTAGCTTTGATTTCCTTATCAAAGGACAGCGCTAACAGTTATTAGTTTTATCAGTTTATCAGTTATTAGTTTATTTTTATTAGTTTTTATGTGAAGGGAACGCTCTTAACTTGATTGATGAGTTCAACATTTGAATGTGGTACCGTGACTTTGTTGGTTGAGCAAGTGCATTAGGAGATTGCACTCACTGAGATTATGGCGTTTTCTTATCAGCCGACCGTTTAGACCTACTTCTTATAATGAGCGTAATTTACATTATCGTTTAACGAACTGAGTCGCGCCTCAATGAACAAAGTTGTCACAAAGTTCGTTGAACAGACTGAGACTACGAATACAATATGCAAATACGACTTGAATATGTGTGACTTTTATTAAATCGCTTGTAAAGGTAAACAAAAAATGGAATGAATTGAACGAAATACATCTCTGGAGAAATGGAAGGAAGTGCGCTGAATGCTTAAATTCGTTGAAATGACCAGAACGCTAGCCAATTAAGGCCGTCAGAGTAGGTTGAGTGATCAAGTGCTCGGCCGCAATCCCGGCTCCAATTAGCCCGACCTGCCGTTGAGCATCCCGTTGAGCTCTTGGGTGCCGCCGTCCTCGGCGGCTTCTTGTGGCGCCGGCTTCTTGCCGAAGTTCTCCCCATCCTCGATGGTCTCCGGCATGGGTTTGTTCAGGGTCTCCGGCAGGAGCAGGGACAGCAGTCCGGCGGTGAGGGACAGAGCGCCGCAGATGATCAGCGGCAGCGGTCGCCAGATCTCGCCCAGCAGTTTCAGGTAGGGTGCCAGAATGCCACCCACGCGAGCTACCATGGAGGAGGCGCCCAGACCCACATTCCTGACCACCGTCGGGAACTGCTCCGCCGAGAAGATGTAGATGGTGCCGTACGACGAGGTGATGGCCAGCTTTCCTATCATGGCGCACGCGATGATCAGCCAGTTCATGTCGCTCGGCACGAAGATGGTGGCCAGCAGACTGATCCCGGCCACCAGCATGGTGCCGCACAGGATGGAGCGACGACCCCAACGGTTCAAAGTGAAGAGGAGCAGCGTATAACCCGGTATTTCCACGGCACCAGAGATTACAAAGTTAACCAGTTGGTTTCCACCGAGGTTGTTGGTGTTCCACGACAGGCCGTAGTACACGCCACTGTTCACAAACCAGTCGAAGAAGATCAGCAGGGTTTTCCGGCGAAGATTGGGATAGCGCAGGAGATCGAACACGGTGGCCGCTGGTTGGGATGCGGCCATCTCGTCCTGCTTCTTTTTTTCGGCCACCTCGTCCACCAGCTGCTCGTAGACTTCGTTGGGCACCTCCACCTTGTTCTCCTTGGCCGCCTTCTCGATGATCACAAAGGCCTCATCCTTGCGACCCTTCATCAGGAGCCAACGCGCCGACTCCGGAATGATCCAGTAGTAGCACAGGAAGAGCAATCCCGGCAAGGTCAGAGCGACCTGCAGCCAACGCCAGTCGTGGATGAAGTACGCAAAGCCAGCAGTGAGCATAAAGCCCACGGAGAAGAACATCTGCATGGCCACGCCAGCGAAGAGGCGATACGAGGAGCCCACCATCTCCAGGGCGATCACATAGGCAACCAGGAAGACTCCCGAAGTGGTGGCGCCCACAATCATGCGGGAAATCGTGTAGCTAAAGTACTCGGGTGCCACGGCGGCAAAAACGCCGAAGATTAGCTGCAGCACCAGCGAGGCGAAGAAGGTGGGCTTGCGTCCCAGCTTGTCGGACATCTGGCCAAAGATGAAGCTGCCCAGGAGCACGCCCAGCATGAACAGGGAATCACTGGTGGCACTCAGCAGGCTTCGGCTGCAGACCATGTCCCACTCGGTCACAGCACTGTTGAGGTACTTGCTCCGATCGTAAACGTAGCTGGTGCAGCTCTTGGTGTCGTTGCTGCTCCGTGGAATGCTGCCATTCAGGTACTCCGCCGTGTAGTCCACGTCGTAGTAGGAGCAGCGCTCATTCTGCGGGTACGATAGGTTCCACAGGTGGGGCGACAGTTCATAGGTGCTGCCATTCTCGAAGGGCAGGGCGCATCGGAAGTCGGGCTTGGCCAGCAGGAACACCCCGGCCAGCTTGTGGAAGGCGCACACTATGGCCGGCAGGCAGAGAAGATAGTAGATGCGCTTCTGATACGGCCCGAATTCACCCAGGTGGGTGATGACGTCGTCGTAGCCCATTGGCTTAGCTGTGCGACGTGTAACGCCTGAAATTCGGCGTTGTCAACCGTCGAGTGTCGTACGATAACTGACCGGACTGGCGGTTCACTGGTCGCGGCACCGCGTCGTATGCGCAATTTATTAACGCGTCTGGTTGCGTATACGCCCGATGAACCCGTTCGGTTGTGCAACAATCTGGTTGGAAAGACGGTACCTGCTTGCACCAGCAGCTGCCACAGCAGCACTCTGCAGCACCACAGACTAATCCCTGTCCAGCGAATCTCGCACTGAATTGGAGCGCGCGATCAACCGCTCGCCAGCTGCCTCCGTCTCAGACTGAGAACTCAAAGAGCATCGAGGGTTCGTTCGCACCCAGAACACCCGCCTATCTGTCTGTGTGAGCGGTACGAATCTATGTGTGCGTGTGTGTTTGGGTGGCGCAGCTCTCCGCTGCCTGAGCCGTTCAACCCCGTGGCCAATCTATTGATCAGCGATCCGCATTAGGAACCTCTAAATGGAATCAATAACTGCCGTTTCAGAACGGGGATGCAATCGGTCTGCCAGGCGGCGGGGAAGTGGCAGCTGCCTCACTGATTTGGACATCGCACGATGTCAATTAGTGCGCCCAGGAACATCTTCCGACCCAAGAAAGAGTTCACCGATTCCGAATTCCAAGCTGTCTGCCAGCCAAACATGGAAGCCGATGCTGGGCAATTCAAGCTAATAAAACTTTTCAAATGAACGAACAAAACATAAAAAAAATTCGAATTTCGAGATAATTTAAAGGGGCAAAATGCGCATATCCAAATATTCCGACCACGTCTGTGCGTTGATAAGTATATGGCTATGCCCATAGATAACAACACTCTTCCAAAGACCGCTCTTCCAATCGAGTGGGGCGTCTCTCTCTTAAAGCCGAATACTTCCGTTCTTATCGAAAACACTGGCTGGCTGGTTAAGTTATTAATTGAAAAGCTGACAGAACATGTGGCAATGCACTCGTAAATGGTGCACTAAAAATAGAAGACCCACTTTCCGAGCAGCCACGTAGGAGAAGATCAAGGTTGAAGTGCTCGCGAGATGTGAATAATGCAACACTATGCGGTGGCCCCAAAAATCATGCGATTATGATTCGCATTCCAAGCTATATGAGTTCTTTCTGCTGCTACATACATCGTAACATCGTATCATCGGGTTTATAACTAAGCACTTGGCAAGCTCGTGATTTGGAGTGGGTCCATTTTTCGAATGAGGGTCTCGTGTTTTCGGGACTGATAAGAAACGATTACGAAAATAAACACAGCGGAAACACGTTTCAAATTTCCTAATGAAAAGGCCAGACATTCCGTCCGGGTTTACGAGGGGTCAGGCAGGAGGAGGGGGAGGGGTCTTTAATCTCTGAAAAAGTACGTTTATTTCAAAAGCATCTACTAGATGTAAGTACACTAAAGTTAAAAATAGGCATGGGAATAAATTATGCAGCAGCACGAGGCATTTTCCAGCTGATTTTCCGGGCGAAAACCGCCCCTAATCTGCGGAAATCGTAACCCCCTTTATAAGACCGCTCCTCACTACCCGGCTAAATGCTAAAGAGTTATGTTCTTTTACGTACAATTTTGTTGTCTGGTCTTTTCTTTTTTGGTTACGTGTGAGATTTCAGAATTTGTATAATACTTGGTCTATTTTTTTAAAGATAAATGCCCTGCCTTTGGCCTGACCGAATTCTAGTTGCCCTGTCTGTAGTCTGTAGGTTCTGTAAGTTCTGGAAACTTTTAGGTGCAGGCCCTGAGATTTTCTAGTACTTGTGGCCATTGGCTATGCTTGAGCCATTTGCCTCGCCTGTTCCCTTGAGTGGCTGCGCCTCTGGTGCCCTCAGTTCTTGGCCCGTTTCCAGGTAGACATCTCCCTTGGTCTTCTTGCCAAAACGCTCGCCATCCGCAATGGTCTCCAGCATGGGCTGGTTGTGCGTCTCCGGCAGCAGGAGAGAGAGCAACCCGGCTGCCAGGGAGAGCGATCCGCAGATGAGCAGCGGCAGTGGCTTCCAAATGGTGGCCAGGAAGTTGAGGAATGGTGCCATCATGCCACTGATGCGGGCCACCATGGAGGCGGCGCCCAGAGCCACATTTCGCACCACGGTTGGGAACTGCTCGGCGGAGAATATGTAGACGGTGCCATAGGACGCTGTGATGGCCAGCTTGCCCAGCATGGCGCACGCGATCATTAAGGTGTGCATGCTGTCCGGAACGACGACCGTGGCCAGGAGACTGAGACCCGCCATCACCAGGCAGCCGCACAGGATGGATCGCCGGCCCCAGCGGTTCAGGGTTAGCAGCAGGAATACATAGGCTGGGATCTCCACGGCTCCCGAGATAACAAAGTTCAGCAGCACATTGCCACCCAGGTTGTTGGTGTTCCAGGAGAGTCCATAGTACACGCCACTGGTCACCAGCCAGTCCAGGAAGATGAGCAGCGTCTTGCGGCGGAGATTGGGGTAGCAGAAGAGATCCCACACGGAGGGCGGCGGTCCCGCGTCCTGCTCCGGATCCTCCAGCTTCTGCTTGGCCTTCTCCTCGGAGTTTTCACCCTCATCGAGCAGCTCACCCAATGCCTCATCGCTGATCTCCACCTTGTTGAATCGCGCCGCCTTCTGCATGTTGGCGATGGCGCACTCCTTGCGTCCCTTCGACAGCAGCCAGCGGGCGGACTCCGGAATGATCCAGTAGTAGAACATGAAGATGAGTCCGGGTAGGGTTAGAGCAATCTGCAGCCAGCGCCAGTCGTGGAAGAAGTAGGCGAAGACTGCCGTCAGCATGAATCCCACGGAGAAGAACATCATAACAAAGATGCCGGCGTACAGGCGCTTGTCCGGACCCACCATTTCCATGGCCACCACATAGGCCACCAGGAAGACACCGGAAGTGGTGGCGCCCACCATCAGTCTGGCGAACGTGTAGGTGAAATATTCCGGTGCCACTCCAGCCAGAACGCCGAACAGCACCTGGATGACCAGCGAGGCGAAGAGGATGGGCTTTCTACCGTACTTATCGCTCAGTTGGCCAAACACAATGCTGCCCAGGAGCACGCCCAGCATGAAGAGCGAATCGCTGGTGGCGGCCATGAAATCCCTGCCACAAACCAGATTCCACTCGGTCACGGCACTGTTGAGGTACTTGCTCTGATCGTACACATAGCGCGAACAGCTCTTGGTGTCGTTGCTGCTCCGCGGAATGCTGCCATTCAGGTACTCCGCTGTGTAGTCCACGTCGTAGTAGGAGCACCGTTCGTTCTGCGGGTACGATAGGTTCCACAGGTGGGGGGACAACTCGTAGCTACTGCCATTCTCGAAGGGCAGGGCGCACCGGAAGTCCGGCTTGGCCAGCAGGAACACCCCGGCCAGCTTGTGAAAGGCCACTGGAATGGATGTGAGGCAGATGAGGAAGTAGATGATCTTCTGGTAGCGTCCAAAGTCCCCCAAGTGGACGATGGCCTCGTCATAGCCCATGGCGATACTTTTGTCCAGAGTCCACGAATGCGAATGTTAGATGCCGCTCGCGCAGCTGTCTTCGTCGAGTGGCGCCGGTACAATGAATCACAAAATCGGGAGAGCTATGCTTTTTTGGCACAATCTCGTGATGTCGACGCACTTGCAGGTTCCGAGAAATACAGTGGACTCTCTTGCTCCGTTGACGTGTACCTTGCTCCCCAGAGAAAGAGAGAGAATTCAGCGACCCGGTTCCGGCAATTATCGGCCAACACGTGTTGCCAAAATATGCTGGCCAGGGAGAGGAAGTGCGTCCGCGGTGGAAACAAGGCTACCTCGCGAAAGAAGCCGGCACTCCGCTATCTAGATGCGTCACCTCAGGCCAACGAAGCCGAACTGAGCACCCAAACCGAAGCAAACCCACCGACAGGGCCAACAAAAGCGGCCATATATCCGACCCTCTCTGGTGCTCGGATATATCCGACTGTTTGGGCTGTGTGCGAACGGAAGAATGGGCAAACAAACGCCGGCTGCCTGCGCACTCTCAGTGGAAGCGACGTGGAATCGCTGGAATCGGGAGAGCGGGTCTCTAATGCCCAGGTACCCATGCCACTGGCAGATACCGCAACTCCAGGCGCTTGAGGTGTAGGTGGAGAAGTGGCCACCCTGGTTGTGTTGGTAGCACACTGCACCGATCCCCGGCCACTTACTGGAAACTCCCCTGCCCACTTCCATTTGCACAGCCGCTCGCAGCCAGGTATAAATAAGTGGAAACTGGAAAGTCGTTCGTCAATCGGGCGATCCCGATCCCGATCACGATCACGATCACTGGAGGTCTCTCTCTCACTGCCAATTGAGCTGCGCTCCGGCAGACAATTAAGCAGGCCTCGCAAAAACACGAAGAAATGGCTTCAGCTGGGGTAGCGACTAGGCGATACCCCTCACCGTTTAATCACTAAAGAACTCAGTGGTCAGGGCAATTTAAACCTATAATAGTATTATGGTATACTATGCTAATGCAGCTGGATCTATAAGTTATGCCAACTTAAAAGTCTAATGCTGCAACGTGAAAACGATATACCCCTATGCCCATGCCCATTAATGTCCAATAAAGACGCTCCTAATTGAGCTCAATTAATAGGCGGGGCGCTGATCCATTGAGAGAGTGGAAATCAAAGGCGGCAAATCGTACGATACAATGGCTCCTCTTGCAGCAGTCTTATTTATCTAAATCCCTAGACGAGGTATAATCTTGCAACAAAGGCAGGCGAACATTTGATCCGCAGACTGCATCCAGTTGGTGGTAGTTGGTAAAGTTAAGGACAGGAAAGTGATTAGTCACCTCGCCTTTTGCTGGCTAAACAACCCCTCGTTTGCTTTTAAATAAATTACAAGCGCTGTGTGGGAACCAATGGTCCTGCTACACGTCGCCAAATTGAAAATATATAGGCAGCAAACATATGTTTTGAACTTACGTACAACGCACTCTCGTAAGCAGCCAACGAATTCCATACTTTGAAACGTTGCCAAATCTGCTTGCTCTGCTGAAATAATTATAGTATAGTAATGAGTACTGAGTAATCCGTCGGATAAGCCACAGAGACTCTGGACCAGTCTTGATGCAGGTGTTGCAAAGAGTGAACCACTTGATAACGCCGCATTCCCCACCCATTCCAATCAAACTTGGCCAGTTCCGTTTGCAACTTTTTATTGCACCAAAAACTGCACTATCATCTTACTGGCAATAATTAATATTAAAATTAAATTAAAAAAATTAAAATAATCTTGTTAAGAGCTTTATATGTGCAACTGGATATTTAGAATGTGTAGAATACCAGATAAGCCAAATCTTAGAGTGAAATTCAAAAAATTCGCAAACGAGTAATTTGAATAACAATCGAACCGTTATGGATTTGAAAAGTAACGTACGTTTGGGATTACCGCCAAAATGAACTGCGGTCACACTGGAAGGCACTGTGCGCACTAACAACTATCGGCATTCGTGCCACCTCTAGCGCCCAGCTGATTTTTGACAGGCGGCTTCAGTTTGACTCGATCACCCAACGCGACGACACGCGATTTGATCGCCGCTTGGATTTTAAATCAAAACTATTAAAACCGAGATAAACAAACAAACACTCAGCTGAAAATACTTCAAGTGCTACAAACTTTTCGGAACAGTGTCGCGTCGGAATAAATTGCAAGTAACAAATTCTAACCAAACAAAATCCGCGGTGTAGATCGATTCCAAGTGTGCGGCGCCTTCATCAATGTGTGTGTGTGCGTCCCCGGAAACATAGTTGTTGTTGTTTACCAGTAACTCACGACGGAGGGATCTGCAGCAGTCTTAAGGTAAGTGACGCATATCTCTAGAGGATTAGCGGCCCTCACCTGTGAAGGCTTTGGATTTGGTGCCACTTTCTGTTGACTTGCGCTTTTCGCTCTTCCGCCTGACATTGGCACATTCTAGTCCACGAAAATCGGTTACCTACATACATACATACATACATATGTGCATGCCTGTGGTGCAACCAAGAAATCGATTAGAAATCGCGGAAGCCACTATACCCTACATATGAGCACTTACAACTGGGCATCGTCTTTGAAACCAAAGCGCACATAATCGTAACATTTCATTTGTTGGTAGTTACCATATAGCAAATGTGCATTAACAACAGGTTTTCTAATATTTCACTAAGTAGTTACTTGGCAAATTGGTATTTACCGAAATTCGTAACACCTTGTATACAGTTTAGTATTTCCAGGGTATAAGCATGAGTCATATTGTATTATACTTGTTTGCCCTCCAATATTATTAGTTTTCTATAGAACAGGAATCGAACAAAAGGAGTGCGCAGTCGCAACAGCAAATGTCACCACCATTCCTGCAATTCCCACAGCTGTCCTCCTACCACGCATCCTCATCCACATCCCGCACCCACAACCACATGGCATATACCATGTTCCATGTTCCTTGTGTGCATATGTACACCATTCTATTTATAGGCAGGGGCCCATGTCAACGTCGTTAGTTCTTGTTGTTGTTGTTGTGTTTGTGAAGCAAACTGAAAGATAGATTTGTGTCCCGACCATTTTAATTGAGTGCGGAAATGAGCAAACATTTCTTGGAGTCCCCCCAACCAGGGACACAAGTGTCGCTCTCCCCGATCGACTGGCTGTCTGATTCCCCATTCGAGGCACATTTCGTTTATTTATGTGGTAAATGGGGGAGGAGCTGGAGCTGGAGCTGGCGGAGCAGGGATGTGGACGCCGCTCCTGCGCATGCGTGTCCATGTTTGCAGACGTGCCCATCCTATTGTGAGCACTTTAAAGCCAATTAAACGGGTTCGTCGATGCCCTTTCATGTGGCAAGGGTATTTGGGTATTTACCTTTCTGGGGGGTGAGAAGTAGGTCCTTTTTCACGGGAATCGGTGGCAATAAACGAACGTGATCGTTTATATGGGTGCTAAAACTGAATTATTTATTACATATTTGGCTTTCCCTTTAGCCTGGCACAATCCAAGACAGTTGGTCATTAAACAATGGTTTCACTTTAGCTGGAAGTGCTTTTGCAATATTTTATAGTAGAAATTATATAGTTTGGTTGAGGTATCACTGTATCATTTCACCTAATCTTCGCACAAGGGTGAGCTCTTACTCTGCGTGTTGGGCATATAATTCCACATAATTCGAGATCCTTTGCGGTGCGCTGAAGGAAGTCCTGTTGTTGCTCCTGTGTTGGCTGTCACTCAAGCCCCGTTCAACCCCCTTTCAACCCGACGTGACCTCCGCCTCGCCGGGTGGCAAGCGATTCCCAACACGCGCCACACAGCTAACAGGCAGGACGGCAGGATCACGATCCTCATCTCTGGCGTCCATTGTCACCGCCGACAGCTGCCCATATAATTTGGAACCTCGGTTCGGGGAATACTGAAATGTAGCACAAAGTCGTCGGACGGAGGAAATCCACTTTCTGGAGTGGCCAAGAGTTGGACTCGCGATGCGTTAGAGCAATTTGCATATAATACAAAAAGAGAAACACTGAAACGGCCGACGATTGTTCAAAGATTCGCAGTGAAAGTCAGCCAGAGTGTGTGGTTTAATTGCAGCTTTTGTTTTGATAGTCGATTAGCATAATTCGAGATGTATTTGCTTCTATCGTGGCTTCGTTGATGGATTTTTTATGTACATGGCCCTCTTGTTTTATTCATGTACTTTTTTCTTTTTGTTTGGCTAACGCAACACGTGCTTACAAAATATTGGATCAGCATATGCAAGAAAAGTGCCGTTTCAATTTCCTGTTCAAAAATATATTTCGTGCCATGAACAGCAACTTCGATTCAAACTATATTAACTATATAGTGCGGAATTCAGTTGAACCTCTGATAGGAACCTACTCAAACAGATAGTATTCGCTTTTAAACCCTAAATAAACAAATAACTTCTAGCTTAAGCTTCAACCACTTATCCATTATGAATTATTTATGATGATAATGATTGGTGTGTTTTCAAAGTTACAAACTACTTCCCTTATTTGCAGTAACATTTAAATTCAAAATCCATAATCACATCATCACATAAACTGTTACTTTCGTTTGATTACGATTAGCAGTCTTTTTATAACTTTTTAATCATTTAGCATTCGTTTAAAACAAAGAGACTGAAAATAGATTTGCATAGCTAAATTTTTGTATGGGAAAGAGGCTCGACTTTCTGCGATGGGCTAGTTGTGGGATTGTGTGGCCAATAAATTTGGTTATATTGTTCGCCTTACAAGGAAAGTGACTAAAATAATTATATCTACCTGGTATTTTTCTGGCGACCGTCAAACGGGTAATTGTGCTGAGAACCGAGATAAGATTAAATGTGAAGCGATAACATATATTTGGGAACACACACAAGCCGCCAAAAAAACAAAGGCTGGCTGGCTAACACAAAGCCCCAAATGTGACCCAAAATAAACAAAGTGACGAGAGCAGCCTAAAAAATGGGCCCCTTGCTTACATATCCGCCAAGTGCAGAGTAACGACTTGCAGGTCGCCACCATATGGAAAATCTGTGAACATGTGTAGGGAAAATGAGTTATAGGGTCGTCACACAAATCCATCAACGTCTGAAAATGACTTTGTTAATGGCAATGGCAATGGGAATGGGAGTGGAAATGGGATTCGGATCTGGGTCTGGGTCTGGGTCTGGACAGCCAGCGGTTGCTATTTGCATTTTAATTGCATCTCCGAATCGTAGGAAACGAGCAGCGTTAATTGCCGTTTGGCTCACGGAGAAAAAAGCGCTTTTCAATTGTCGGTAGTTTTCCGGCTTTTTCGGATTTCTTTTGACTGGTCCGCATTAATTGGTTCCACTTGCTCGGCGTTTAACTATCGACAGTCATTTCTTCGCCTCAAATAAGCCCCCATCTCGCCGCTTGAATTTTTTGTTTTTGAACAATTCCAAGTCGTTGAACCCGCACTGCAACCAAAAGCACTCGACTCGGCATTTGTGGGGCATGCCCACATTACCCCGCCATGCCACGAAAAACTTAAAACTGAACTAAAATACGAACAAAATTAAAAACAAAATCGGACAGAGATGGCAAATAACAGGCGAAAGATTGAAAAACAAAACGCTACGAAAACTTGTTTCGGTTGTGACTTTTGCGCATGCTCAGCGTTTTGCTTGCCAACGCTTTACGGTACAGTGAACTCTGGCCCCGTCGCCGTTGCGTTTCCCGCTTTCGGTAGAGCGAACCAAACTGGTGTTCCTGTGACGTTTGGGCCATAAATTTTACAGCTGCAGCTTCTATTGTTGCAAGTGTAATTGCTTTTCGACCAATTTTCCCCCTTTTTTTGGCTATTCAGATGGGCCAAGTTAGAGCATTTAGCCCGAGTGACTCATCACTCTGATCCCATTTGGTAGTGGCCACGGGCAGCTGCAAAATCTGCGGCCAAAACAAGTTCAACTGGTTGCCCAGCGATGGCTTCTAAATCCATGCAGTCGCTACAGTTAGGGAAAGGCAGCTTCTTGAATCTGGAATAATATGGATTGTCATCGATTTGATTTTTCCATTATCATCTTCAGAATGTAGATACTTATTATTATGTATGTACACTTGATTGGGCTCACCCACTCACCATTATTTCAGCTGAACCTCTTTTTAATGTGGGTTCCTGATCAAATTCCTTCCTTAAGTAAACGACTAAAGTTAGCAAGTTTTGCGACCAGTGCACTGCTGAGTTCTGTGGCCCCCGCGCTGCACAATCGCGAATCCGAATCCGAACCTGAACCTGTCGCACCGTTAGTGCGTCCCTGTGCCTCCGCCTCGCGGACCCGGTTCCCTGGACTCCTGGATCACGTGAGCAGGCCGTCTTGACTGGTTGAACTTGATATTGATATCGGAAGATGGTCAAGGAACTGGACGGAATGGCGAACGCAACTGGTTTTGGGATCATAGGAGATCGGTTCTGGCTGAACAATGCCAATCTGGCCAACAATGTTCATTGCTTTCCGATGAAATATGCTCAGCCACACAAAACCGAACGATTCGCTAACGGGCTGCGAGTTGAGCTTCTTTCTCAGCGCTTTTGGCCTCAAATTGCCTCCAGTTGTTCATGGGTTGTAACCCAGGAAAGTGTCGCAATTATTACACAATTTTCGTGGTTCGCTGTCTCGTTTCGACTTTGCTTTAATTTTCTTTGTGTCTGAAATGTTTTGGTTTTCCATCGTGGTAGAATGGCATACGAGCTGGTTTCCTCGTTATGAAATGTTGGCAATTGTTTCGCTTGCAATATTATTTTTGCGTCTTCTCGCTTTCCTACTCTTTGTTTCGGGTTATGTTTATGTCGGGAAGTGGCACAAATATGCTGTCCCAAAGGGCTCTTAAAAGAAATGGGTCACCCAGCAGAGTGAACCGGAAAATATGGCAATGGGTTAGATAACAAATGCGTTTCTCCATTTTGTATGCCAACTGCAAGAAAATCCATAAACTGAGATGGTTGGAATTGATAGCGATTCAATAAATCCAAATCGTTTGGGGTTACAAATTGAAATCTTCTCACAACACTTAATTGCCACCGCTTGCGTCAGTTTCCCCAAATTATTTATAATTTTCCCCACAAATTTCCCCATCTAAATCAATTGATTTAAATCAAGAGATCATCTACTTCTCACATTTCTAAAAGTTTCGCCGCGAGACAAATTAAATAAACAACCTGTGTTGCTTCCATTAATTACTAGCTTTTCCCATTTCAGACCGATAGGCAACCCCTTTTGGCCAACAGTTTGCCCTTAACCCGAGTGCATTTCCTTAACTGCTTTTCATTTGACCATTTCCAAGCAGCATTGCGCAATGCAACAGAATGCATAACAAAGCGCATGCCAAAACAATAGGCGCATAACGAACATGATTATTAATTATTCAGCAAAGGCAACGGCAACAACGGTCATTTATTGTGTTTGTTTTGGCTTTGTGTGCTTGGGCTAGGGATTTGGTTTTGGTTTCGGTTTTGGTCATCGGCTGCGGCTCTTTTGGCCAAACCGGAAGCTGAACCTCGTCGCTCGCAACGGTAGAACAGTTTCCATTACACACAGAATGACACGATTTTTGAAGCCATTTTGGACTTCAAATGGGCAGTTGCGATATGAAATGTAAAAGGGAAAAATGGTTTTCAGAATCAACCTAAAAGTTCATATGGTAGGCTATTCATTGGAAGTGAATCATACTTCAACATGCGAGGTATGCACTTCTTATCATCACCTTTTAGGGCAAGAAACGTGGTGTTACATCCGCATATCATATCAATACCCCTATTTTGTAATACATTAGTGGTAAAATACTGTTTGCAGCAAGACAGGCCGTTTCCACTAAGCACTTTAAGAAGTAAGCGTGTAATATTCGGAAAGTTCAACTGGCACGAGTAATAGGTGCGTAAAAAAGCGAGTAACCATTGTCAGGTGTGGGGTTCGAACCCACGCTCCCTCTCGAGAACCAAAGCTTAAATCTGGCGCCTTAGACCGCTCGGCCAACCTGACTGTGCAGCATCGACGACAGAAGAGCTATTTGAGCGAACTGCCCAGGAGCCAGTGCCATTTTCAATGATGGATAAACGAGGGGAAAAGGGATATTTCCCCCCTATATATAGAATTTGCATGTTGAATGTTCAGTACATGCACACCATTGTTTACCTGCTTGTTTGCATAGTGTTTATTCAGATTGTCTACTTATAGTTATTTAATAACATTGTTGATTATCCTTGCTTGGAAATTGGAAAACACTGTCCTACGTCCGTAATAATTTATACCCATTGGCATATATATTTATAGAATGATTTGCTGCACTCATGAATAATTGCTTTTTTTGCAAATTTGTGCTCTTATTTCGCTTTGTTTCGCCTTTTTCGTTTCGTTTCGTTCCGTTTGTTGGTATTGATCAAGCGATTACAGAACAGCAAATAGACAAACAATGGACTTGAGTTCCTCCACCCATCGCAACCCCCTGGTTTTTCAGCTACGTCACAGCCCGCTGAACTGCTCTATCCAACCCATCCCATTTGCTTTTTAGAAAGCTCGTAGGAAAAGCTCTTGTGATGCCGCTATCAGATGCATCTTGCGAATACGAATCGCTTATCCATCTCGGATTTGGTTTCGTTGCTCCCACCCTAATCGCTTTGTTTACCAGAATTCGAGGAGCTTTGAAGCTTGCTCTTAACCTAACCCATGTAGCATAACACCCATTCCACCCCCTGTTGAATGCCCCAGTCAAGCAGCTGTTGCGTGTGAATAACTCAGTTTGCCAATTGGAGTGAAACACAATCAGCGCGGGATAGCCAAGACTATGGAAACAATATTCAATTATGCACACATGACAATTATTCATACATCTGCGGTCACCAGAGTCGTACTTAGATGTTGCAGTGTAGCACTGGAAACCTTATTTTAAGTTGGGATCGTTAGCTATTAGCGAAACTATTAGTGAAAATATTCCAAAATAGTCAGAAAATTGCGTTCATATCTCAAGATCTACTCGCTTGACCCCTGCTGTATGCGTAGTTAAATCCGGAAGTTGTTATTCACGCCGCTGCATTGCCGCGAGGCGACTTCCTGGTGCAACATGGAGCGGCTGCCATGACTCCGTCGCACTTGAGGCAAGTGCCACGGGTGCCATTGTTTGGTCCCGCTCCCGAATTGGGGCACAAACAAATAAAGCCCTTTTGAGTGTGGGGAATAATAAAATGTGCCTGGCACGCAGCTGGAATTATTACTGTGCCACCCACTCGACGCCATCGGTAATTGCGGATTCGGCGCAGTTGGCAGCTAACGAAGCCGAATGCCGTAAACGATACGATATGCTGGAGAGAAGCGATGAGCAGCAACCCCGAGCTTCCATGCGGGGCATCCTGCCCAGAATCCGGCAATCGGCAGTGCATGTCGCGAGTTTGCTGCAGTCGTCACGCCACGTGTGTCCGTCGCCCTCTTATAATTCTCAATCGGTTTTTGTTTCTTTTTTCGGGGCGGTTGCCCGAATCGTAGAACTCGGTTACTGGGTGAAAACTGCACGGCAACAGCAGCAGCTGTGGCAGCATCATCATCATCACCATCATTCTCCTCCTCTTGGCAAAAACAGCAACAATAACAGTTGCGTTTGATGTCAAAAGTTCAGCATCGCAAGCGACTTCCCAGTTATATATACACGATATATCTCGACACGCGCCTGCTTTCGATCCAACATTGTGTTTACCTCTTAATGTAGGTCAGAAATTGGCATAAATTGTGCAATGGCCACAGACTAATCGAGAAAACTCAATTAAAAGTGAAAAGCTGCATCTCATTGGATAATCCAGCGGATGGGCAAAAGTTTGCCAGCTATAGTGGAAAGTGTTTAATCGATAGTGAAAAGCGGAAAAGTGAAAATCAATTGTCACTGCCTGTGCAGCATTTGTGGTAGTTAGAAATCAGCAAACTAGTTACCAGTATTCAGTACTCACTCGCATCCCAAACGGTGCCACATACAGTCAACCCCCGTGGTGACTCACCCAGCACCCTTATTCGCACTCCCTTATTCCCATTTTTTGAGTGCCAAAGTCTTTGCTCCAGTGCATTGCACTGCAATTAACCTATTGAGGAGTTTGGCCTGCAGTTGGGGACCCCGAAATGGATTTCTATGCCAACAACAATCCGGTGCACTCGGCCAGCACGGGTGAGTTCAATTAACTTGGCTTAATTGCCAAGACAATCTTATCGCTGACTGTGGCGTATTTTTAAGCATTTCTTTTGTGATCTAGAGTAAATCTTAATTGGCTATCGTCACCATTAAAACATTCGTGCGATAGCGAAATTAAAATGCATTTACTTTGTGCAACTGATTGTTAATTAAATTGATTCGAAAATTGAATTTATTTGAGGGAGTTGAATCCCTATTAATGTGTTAGGAAATTCCATGTAATTTATATGAAAGTGCAGAACTTTATTGCACTATCTTACCAGATTAGTGACTTCAGTGGTTACTATGCAACTTCTGACTAATTTTAGAATAGACAATGACGAATCCCTGCCAAAAAGTAATGGAAACAAGCAGGAAAATTGTGCGCACGTTTTCCAAAAGCGGAGAAAATTACAATAATATAATGCTGGCACGCAACAATGTTTTCCTTTTTTTTGTCGACGGAAGAGGCCGAGTAAACATGATGATATCACACCCAACAGCGCCCACTCCGTTCAATTTTCGCAAGTAAACATTGTCTACTCTCTATTCCTTTCAAGAAAATCACGCAGAGGCGTCTGCTTTGCGGGCTTAGCTTCTGGCTAATTGCTATTCGGACCTGGTTTTCAATGTGGGCTTGGGGTTTGCGGGTCGTGGGGTCATTGCATGTGCTCGGATTACGTATACGCACGGTGGGCCCTGGCCAAAACCAAATAAGCCGGTTAGCTGCAGCAGGTGTCGCCCATTTGGGTGGCTCTGTCAGGCTGCACTTCATCATTTAAGGAGCACAAAAGGTTCGTTTGGTCTGTCCGGCTTCACATTTCATAAGCTTCTTGAGCATGACTTGGCTGTTTCTCCAGTTCTTCCAGTGCGCCTCAAGTTCATCATCTGCCTTTTGGAGGCCTCAGTGCGCTGTATGTTCTTGATTTTTTCCACACCTTCGCTTCTGCTCATGTCCATTGTCAATGTCGCCTTGAAGCATTTCCTCCGCCACCAAGTCATTCGTTGCTTCCACACTTGGTTGCCTGCTCTGCACTTGGAGAAAATCCCACCTAAAACCAATCGGAGACTAAAGATTTATTTGTGTTAGCATGCTCTTCTTATTGTAATCAGCTATTTCTGTGAATGTTCCCTCAAAAAATTGGTCTATTTCTTCTAAATTATAAAATATTTAACATTTACTTATAAATAAATGTGCCAAGAAATAAAGTGTAGACTGCGGAAAGTGCAGTGAAAGGAGTGCGAACCCGGGGGACCTGGAGCCTGAATTTCCATGCCTGGTCGTCGCCAAGAATGCAGCCGGGCCAGTTCTTCTGCCCCCCATAAGCGGCCATCAAATGCTGGGTTGTTTTTTTCTTTCAGACCTCCATCACTTGGTTCCTAGGCAACTTCTCGCTTTTTTATTTCATTTTTTCCATGCTCCATGCTCTGTGCTCTGTGTGTGCTTGTTTTTTGCGCAATTTGTAATTTATGCCGCCATCCCATGCTCGCAGCAGATTCGAGTGGCCCAGCCATATGGAAAGGCAGTGGACTGAGGAGCACAGACTGGGGAGGACCAGGAGATGAAGGCGACAACGTGGCCGTGATGGTGGCTGTATGGCTGTCTTGCATATGGAACAGTGTGTGGCAGAGCGCCTCCTCCATCGGCTTGCCAATCATTATTTTTTGCTCTGTGCATAATCAAGATTATGTTAAATTGTCTGAGTAATTGTTGTTAATTTGCCCGGGCACATTATAAAGCGATTTCAACCATATGTCTGGGGTTAAGCTCCGCTTTCTTTCTGGCCACAAACTGGGCTAATTATGATGGATACATTGCAGCCCGTAAATTGTTTACAACACTTTGGTATCAGCAGGAGATTGAAGTTTCATTTAATAGCCACCCTAATGCTTCTTAAGCCAAATAATTGGGGGAAAAACTGAAGCAACATGAGTCACTTCACATGGAACAGACACAAATTCTGGGTCGATAAGACTTCACTAGTTGTTAATGCAATGTGTTTGTCGTGACATAATTGAAATGCAACTTTCGGAACCAAAAGTTAACATGAGTCAGCATATAATGGATTGAATATATTATCATTTATATGTAGTTAGTTAGTTGATTGTGCTTCAGCCAATGGCTAATCAGAAAAATCAGTAAAATTTAATTTTACAAGTGAATGGTAAAAGCAGATTACTTTATAGAGATTAAAAGATATTACTTTCCCATAATGCACATCTGCTTTCCATACATCTGTCTACGCTAAACGTTTCCCAAGTGATCTATTCTATTGGCAAGACTCCCACTCACCAAAAACCAGTATCTCAGCATCCATAGAATAGTAGTCTCCAGATCTCTGCTTGGTTCTCACCACAGCAGAGTCCCACAGACCAAACTGACTCATTTTGCAAAACAAACTGAGGCTTAACAATCATTTAATAATTTAGCACTTTGCGGCAAATTTATCTTGATGAACTGAGAGCCATTGTTTCCCCCAACAAAATTCGAGAGCATTTTGTCGCCATAATAACATACATATGTAGGTAGCTAGGTAGCTGACATGGAACTCTGAATGCACGGCACTAGGGAAAGAGATCGGGGAAAAGGGCAGGCACCATTAACCTAGCGAGCGCTCAGTAAATAGATTTCACCTTGACGCGTTCGCCAAAACAATAATTCCGACGTCACTGTCTCGCTTGCCGAAATCAGATATCGGTACCAGATACATGCATATATAGAGCAACATATATCTGCAGAGCTACACGACTTTAAATGGGAGCTTGCGGTTTTCTTATACCTTCGTATACATCTAAACGCTGCTAGGTGTTTGCAAAGCGCACAACAAGGTCGTACACCCGAGCGCAGAGGGATAGATGCAACTACTCATAGAGTAGATAATAGTAAACTGATAATATTTTGTAGGACTCTAATTTGTAGGGCAAATAAGGTACAAATGTCTGTTACATGGGAAGGGAAATTTGCATAGCTGGAGAGAAAAGGGTGCCATCATCCAGTTTGAATAGGAATGTAATGTGCTGTAATCTCAAAATAAATCTGTAAAATTGCTATTATTCTGACCACGCCTGTGGCCGGGGCTTATCAACGGGTCTACTCACACAGCGCCCATGAGTCAGAAGGCAGTGCATGACCAAGAAAGGTAACCAGCGAATAGACACAAAGGAAAGGCGAAATGAGCGGAGACAGACGAAAAACAGAAACTGCCACAGCGACAGCAGTTAAAGAACAATGGTATCCATATGCCAGGGAGCCAGTTCCAGTGCCAGTGCCAGTACCAGTTCCTCAGCTCCACAGTGGCTCAGTTTGCGAGTGCCTTAGTTCCCAGAAGAGAGATTGGGAGAGCCGGAGAGAGCCAGAGAGGACGGCACAGGTAAAATGGCTATAAAACACCGGCACCGGTGGCAGCCCTAATGACTCGCCGGAGTCACTACAAATCTCTCCAGCCAGCCGATCGCTGCACTCCACTCCACTCACTTGTCTTTCCGCACTCGACCAGTGTGGAGCGTTGTACCTGGCCGGAATCGCAGTTCTCGGTTCCCTCTGTTCGCAGTGCGAGGTAGATAAGATTTTTCGCATTGATATTGTCCGCGCCATACGTTTGTACCTAGAACCTAAACCTTCGAAATTGTATATTGCCTGATTCGGTATTATAATAGTGTTTGCTTCTCCTTCCCTATTGCAGTGCGCAAAATGTTGGAGGACACCCAACTGGTGTGGGTGCGAGATGCCGCCGAGGGCTATATACAGGGTCGGATCACCGAGATCGGCGCCAAGGAGTTCGAGGTCACGCCCACCGATCGGAAGTATCCGAAGCGCACGTGTCACTTCGATGACATCCACTCCTCGTGCGATGGACCCCAGGATCACGACGACAACTGTGAGTATCCAAGTTTGCGAAATATGTGATGACATGGATTGGAGTCTTATCTAGCCCGAATTATTATATAAGTTGCGTAGGAAAGTGAAAGAACGAACCAAAGCTACTGCTCTCGATCGCAAAAGAACTTTCCACTTCCACTTGGAATTGGTGGTAGCATTCAAACCATAACTTCTACAGAGACATTTACCACAAGAACTATTTACGTGAGTCTAGCAAGCGAAACCACAAAAAAGCGTTTAGTAGGGTAAAGATAAAGGTTGCGAACGTCAGTGATCTTCAATTAATATCAGAGGTATGTGGAACATTTTCAACTGCAGCAGGTAGCGATCTTATCTAGCAACCCGATAAGATGGCTTTCACATTAAAGATACCACCTGCATATCAAGAGCGAAATTTTTCAGTGAATTAGCTTCAAATTGAGTGAAAGAAACTCAGGGCAATGGGATGGGACAGGTCTGGCGAAATGCTGTGTATTTCCTAACTCTGGTTTGGGGTAATCGTTAGCTACGCTTGCTTACCTGACCTCCGAACCCTGCAGACAGGCGGCTGAAAGTGGTCGGGGGGTTCGGGCCATAAAACCCGTACAATTTCAAGCGTTTTACTAACCCAGTTGATTTTATGTGGCAGGCGAACTCATGCTGCTCAACGAGGCCACATTTCTGGACAATTTGAAAACACGTTACTACAAAGACAAGATCTACGTGAGTACTCGAAATAAGAACCAACGAAAATGGAACTGTGCTAAGAACTTGAATTGCAGACATATGTGGCCAACATTCTGATTGCCGTGAATCCGTATCGTGAGATCAAGGAGCTCTACGCACCCGATACCATCAAGAAGTACAATGGTCGTTCCCTGGGTGAACTGCCTCCTCATGTCTTTGCTATTGGTAACTGCAATTGATATTACTACAACTTGAAGAAGTTTGTAACCGAATGCATTATCAACCCACAGCGGATAAAGCCATACGGGATATGCGAGTGTACAAGTTGTCCCAGTCGATCATTGTGTCCGGAGAGTCGGGCGCCGGCAAGACGGAGTCCACAAAATACCTGCTCAAATACCTGTGCTACTCACACGACAGTGCCGGTCCCATAGAGACCAAGATACTGGATGGTAAGTGTTTCATGTCTGAGAATGCTTGAGGAGCAGCTCCTAGTGATTATACTCCCGTAGCCAATCCCGTGCTGGAGGCCTTTGGTAACGCCAAGACAACCAGAAACAACAACTCCTCGCGATTTGGAAAGTTCATTGAGGTGCACTACGATGCCAAGTGCCAGGTGGTCGGTGGTTACATATCGCACTACTTGCTGGAGAAGAGTCGCATCTGCACGCAGAGCGCCGAGGAGCGAAACTATCATGTTTTCTACATGCTCCTCGCCGGAGCTCCACAGCAGCTGCGGGATAAGCTGAGCTTGGGCAAGCCAGATGATTATAGGGTAGGTCTTTCCCCTACGTACTGCATCGTTCCTTATTTCACGGTTTGCCTTTCTTTGCCAGTATCTGTCTGGTTGCACACAGTACTTTGCCAACGCCAAGACGGAGCAGCTAATACCGGGCTCACAAAAGTCGAAGAATCACCAGCAGAAGGGTCCGCTAAAGGATCCGATTATCGATGATTACCAGCACTTCCACAACCTGGACAAGGCCCTGGGCCGCCTGGGACTCTCGGATACTGCGAAGCTAGACATATATTCGCTGGTGGCAGCTGTGCTCCACCTGGGCAACATTGCTTTCGAAGAGATACCCGATGACGTGCGCGGCGGCTGCCAGGTGTCGGAGGCCTCGGAGCAGTCGCTGACTATCACCAGTGGGCTGCTGGGTGTGGATCAAACAGAGCTGCGCACCGCTTTGGTGTCCCGAGTGATGCAGAGCAAGGGAGGCGGCTTCAAGGGCACGGTTATCATGTAAGGATCAGTATTACAGGGATCTATGGTAATCGATTGATGACTAACAAAACCATCACTCTTGCAGGGTTCCTCTAAAGATCTACGAGGCAAGCAATGCTCGGGATGCCCTGGCCAAGGCCATCTATAGTCGACTGTTCGACCGCATCGTGGGCCTGATCAACCAGAGCATTCCCTTCCAGGCTTCAAACTTTTACATCGGCGTACTCGATATCGCTGGCTTTGAGTACTTTACGGTGAACTCCTTCGAGCAGTTCTGCATCAACTACTGCAATGAGAAGTTGCAAAAGTTCTTCAACGATAATATACTGAAAAACGAGCAGGAGCTGTACAAACGCGAAGGGCTCAATGTGCCCGAGATCACTTTCACGGATAACCAGGACATCATCGAGCTGATCGAGGCCAAGTCGAATGGCATCTTCACGCTGCTCGACGAGGAGTCCAAGCTGCCGAAGCCCTCGTACTCGCACTTCACCGCCGAGGTGCACAAGTCCTGGGCGAATCACTACCGCCTGGGTCTGCCGAGATCCTCGCGACTGAAGGCCCACCGCACTCTGCGGGATGAGGAGGGCTTCTTGGTGCGCCACTTTGCCGGAGCTGTGTGCTACAACACGGAACAGTTCATTGAGAAGAACAACGATGCCCTGCATGCCTCGCTGGAGGGTTTGGTCCAGGAGTGCGATAATCCCCTGCTGCAGACCCTCTTCCCCTCGGGAAGTAGTACTTCGGTTCGTGGAAAGCTCAACTTCATATCCGTGGGATCCAAGTTCAAGACTCAGCTGGGCGAGCTAATGGAGAAACTGGAGCAGAACGTAAGTAATTCGATGGACTAACAGAAACCGAAACTTAATGATGTCACCTTTTAGGGCACCAACTTTATACGCTGCATCAAGCCCAACAGCAAGATGATCGACCGACAGTTTGAGGGTAGCCTGGCGCTGGCCCAACTCAAGTGCTCGGGCACCATTTCGGTGCTGGAACTCATGGAGCACGGTTATCCATCGCGTGTTCTCTTTGCCGATCTCTACAGCATGTACAAATCGGTGCTGCCGCCGGAGCTCGTTTCATTGCCAGCTCGCACCTTCTGCGAAGCCATGTTCCAGTCCCTCAATCTGAGCGCCAAGGACTTCAAGTTCGGCATCACCAAGGTCTTCTTCCGGCCGGGCAAATTCGTGGAGTTTGACCGCATCATGCGCTCTGATCCGGAGAACATGTTGGCCATTGTGGCCAAGGTCAAGAAGTGGCTGATTCGATCGCGTTGGGTCAAGTCCGCTCTGGGAGCTCTCTGCGTGATCAAGCGTAAGTAGTCCACCAAGCCATTTTATATGGCCTTTCGTGTAATGTTCCTTGTTTCTCTACCCTAGTGCGCAATCGGATCATCTACCGCAACAAGTGTGTTCTAATAGCCCAGCGTATTGCCCGTGGTTTCCTGGCTCGCAAGCAGCATAGGCCGCGCTACCAGGGAATTGGCAAGATCAACAAGATCCGGACCAACACTTTAAAGACAATCGAAATAGCCAGTGGCCTGAAAATGGGTCGCGATGAGATCATTAGCGGGGTAAACGATATCTACAGGCAGATCGATGATGCCATTAACAAAATCAAGGTAAGTCTTGGTAAATGCCACTTCCAGTCCTTTACTGATACTTAATCCGAAACAGATGAACCCACGCATTACCCAACGGGAAATGGACTCGATGTACACCGTGGTCATGGCCAATATGAACAAGCTAACAGTTGATCTGAACACCAAGCTTAAGGAGCAGCAACAGGCCGAGGAGCAGGAGCGTCTGCGCAAGATCCAAGAGGCCCTGGAGGCCGAACGCGCCGCCAAGGAGGCGGAGGAGCAGCGCCAGCGCGAGGAAATCGAAAACAAGCGACTGTACGTATTAGTTTTTATGAGTTTGAATTCTGAACTAGCTTCCCATCCGAAATCCACAGCAAAGCGGAGATGGAAACTCGGCGAAAGGCCGCGGAAGCTCAGCGCCTGCGCCAAGAGGAGGAGGATAGGCGTGCCGCCTTGGCGCTGCAGGAGCAGCTGGAGAAGGAGGCCAAGGATGATGCCAAGTACCGGCAGCAGCTCGAACAGGAACGCCGCGATCACGAGTTGGCCCTGCGTTTGGCCAACGAGACCAACGGCCAGGTGGAGGACAGTCCACCAGTTATCCGCAAGTATGTGATTATATGGTCAAAACCTAATACAAGTTACAAGGCCAGAAATAATTGGGTAATGTCTATATTGTATTCCTAAACGGGATCTTGCAAAAATGATAATTTGTCTGTTGAAATATTGGATAAGTATCAGATTTGGCCTGTTAGGTTATCAATTTATATTGTATATATTAATTATATTATAAAACTCACCAACTTTTTCCTTTTCCCCCACACGGAATCCACTCCACACTTTCCACAACCAAACACCACCACCCAACCACCCAATCCAACCCAACGAACACAACACAGTGGTGTCAATGACGCGTCTCCCATGGGTTCCAACAAGTTGATCAGGTATAGCACGCTTTATGAATTACCTATGTCTACCACTCTTGTAAATTTTGTCAATCTTTTCTTGCTTTCCCAAAAACACTAATTGGATAATGACTACCATACAAAAAAAAAAAAACAAATCAACCAACGATTCTTTACTACTTTAACTTCTTTACTTTCTGTATATTTTTGAAAAAGTTTTTCACAAGTTGTGTCAAACATTGCTTCGCGGTACTTGAATAAGTGAGTTGGTGCTGGTTTTGAAATCATTTCATACTAACTAAATTACTAACACCTAAAGTAATGAGCTCGTGCCCACTAATCCAAATCATCTGTAGCATCTACTACTACTAGCAAACTCCCATTGGCTTTTAGTTGTTAACTTACGATTCTCCTATTTATCCTGTCACTATGAACATTTGATGCCATCAATGACTCACTTTGTTTGCTTGCGCTGATATACATATCTATGTAAAAGTATTTACCTAAAATTATGCTAATTGCTATTGCTATTCCTGTGGCAGATCGGAAAATGTTCGCGCCCAACAGCAGGCGCTGGGTAAGCAGAAGTACGACTTGTCCAAGTGGAAGTACTCGGAGCTGCGTGATGCTATAAACACGTCCTGTGATATTGAGCTGCTGGAGGTGAGCCTTTATATATATTATTATTTTGAAAGCTTAGCAAACAAACCCATGATTTTGCAGGCCTGCCGTCAGGAGTTCCATCGCCGCTTGAAGGTGTACCACGCCTGGAAGGCAAAGAACCGCAAGCGCACCACCATGGATGAAAACGAGCGTGCCCCACGCAGCGTCATGGAAGCTGGTAAGTAAAAAGCACAGAAATAGTTATTGTATAGTACTATATACCATATCAATTGCAGCCTTCAAGCAGCCGCCTTTGGTTCAGCCAATCCAGGAGATTGTGACCGCCCAGCATCGCTACTTCCGGATTCCCTTCATGCGGGCCAATGCGCCGGACAACAGTAAGTGTTCTTCCAGACTATATAATTATGAAATATATTGATAAATCCCTTTGCAGCCAAGCGCGGTCTGTGGTATGCCCACTTTGATGGCCAGTGGATCGCTCGCCAGATGGAACTGCATGCGGACAAGCCGCCAATTCTACTTGTGGCCGGAACGGACGACATGCAGATGTGCGAGCTCAGTCTGGAGGAGACGGGTTTGACACGCAAGCGCGGCGCCGAGATCCTGGAGCACGAGTTCAACCGCGAGTGGGAGCGTAATGGCGGCAAAGCCTATAAGAATTTGGGTGCCAAGCCGAATGGGCCAGCTGCCGCAATGCAGAAACAACAGTAGACCCCCAATACAATAAAAAGGCACTGCATTAATCAAATACGTTGCCGTTCCGGTGGTCAATGGGTCAAAATTGGTAACTAACGAAACTCGAAAATAGGTTTTTGTCAGTCAAATTTTACTGAAAGCGACCACGTCCATAAAACATTTTTAGTAAATATAACACTCTTCGATTAGAAATGTGAAAATTTTAATTTGGATTCCGATCCCATTTGCCCAATCATTTTGTGCGCGCCCGGACTGTTTTTTGGGGGCCTTATACACTTAGCTATACAAATATATATCTTTAATTAAGTGAATCTTATGATGTAAAAGGAAACGGCAAGTTGTATTTAGTATTTAACTAATTACTATTTAAATTGTGTATTTAGTTCACTGCGATGTATTTACATAATTGAATATATATTTTACAGTATTTTAAAAATAAATATTTGAAGTGAATAATTTGAATCAAAATCAAATATGAAATCGGAGCGTAAACCAACTTCAAACTTAACCGGAACTCAAAATAACTAACCCTCAGCTCAGTGTGAATGGGTCGCTTTATTTAGTGTTGCTCGAGTACTTAAAGCACCAGTGTGCACTAGCTATTTTTAAAGACGAGTGTGACCCTTCAGTACAGTAAGTTCAGAGTGACCATCAAAAAATCGGCCATGCGATAGTACATTAAAATACGCTCACCACTAGTTGGCAACACTGGCACCGGTCTGAATAAGCCAATTTGTATTTTAGCTCATTTATCTGTGTTCAAAGTCAGCTCAAGATTAACAGGTGATTCATTCAGTATGCCCACCATTGGAGTTAAACGGGATCTGCTCTTCGAGGCGCTCGGCAAGACTTACAGTGAGTTTGAAGAGTCCACGTGTAATCACGTTTTCATCGCTTGGAGCTCCCTAATGTTTACCCCTTTCCCGTAGCCGATGATGAGTTCCAGGAACTGTGCTTTGCCTTCGGACTGGAGCTGGACGAAGTGGTAGGTGGTGTCTATTAATAAAGAGTACACACATACTGAAACCGCCTGAAATTCCCCACAGACCACGGAGAAGCAGATGCTGACCAAGGAACAAGGCGATGTGGCAGCGGCGGCCAATGCCAGCGAGGAGATCATCTACAGAATCGACATACCCGCCAACCGGTATGATTTGCTCTGTTTGGAGGGTCTGGTCACGGGTCTGCTGGTGTTCCAGGGAAAGTGAGTTCGAAACGTCGTCCTGTCATCAATGTGCACCATACAGAACTCTACCCTTTCAGACTAAAGCCCCCCAAGTTCCAGTTTGTGGAGCCGGCCAAGAGGCAGGTGCTGAAGATTGACCCTTCGACGGCCCAGATCCGTCCGTACGCCGTGGCCGCTGTACTACGGAACGTGACTTTTACGCCGGCCTCGTACAACAGCTTCATCGATCTGCAGGACAAGCTGCACCAGAACATCTGCCGCAAGCGTACGCTGGTGGCCATTGGAACCCACGATCTGGACACCATACAGGGACCCTTCAGTTACGAGGCTCTGGCGCCGGACCAAATCAGGTTCAAGCCACTTAACCAAACCAAGGAGATGACTGGCAGCGAACTCATGGACTTTTATTCCACGCATGCGCAGCTGAAGCAATATCTGCCAATCATTCGGGAATCACCGGTTTATCCAGTGATCTACGATGCCAACCGTGTGGTGCTCTCGCTGCCGCCCATAATCAACGGTGATCATTCCAAGATCTCGCTGAAGACCAAGAACGTGTTCATCGAGTGCACGGCCACAGATAGAACGAAGGCAAAGGTGGTGCTGGACACCATCGTATGCCTCTTCTCCGAGCACTGCGCCCAGAAGTTTACCGTGGAGCCGTGCGATGTGGTGCAACCCGATGGCAATGCGATCTCTTATCCGGAACTGGCGGTGCGCGAGGAGCGGATATCTGTCAAGCGAGCTAATTCCTATATTGGCATCGATGAGCCGGCGGAAAAGCTCGCAGATATGCTGACGCGCATGTATCTGGCGGCCAAGGTGGATGGCGACTCGCTGGTGGTTAAGATCCCACCCACGCGACACGACGTGATCCACGCGTGCGACATCTACGAGGACGTGGCTATTGCCTATGGCTACAACAACATCAAGAAGTCCCTGCCTGCATTCATGCAAATAGCCAAGCAATTCCCACTGAACAAACTGACCGAACAACTGCGCGAACAGGTGGCCCAGGCGGGCTTCACCGAGGCGCTGACCTTTACGCTCTGCTCTCGGGATGACATTGGACGCAAGCTGAACAAGAACATCGAAGCCCTGCCGGCCGTGCACATAGGCAATCCCAAGACCCTGGAATTCCAAGTAGTGCGCACGACCCTATTGCCCGGTCTCCTCAAGACTCTGGTGGCCAACCGCAAGATGCCGCTGCCCCTGAAGCTCTTCGAGATCAGCGACGTGGTGGTTGCCGATGACAGCACGGAAGTGGGTGCCCGCAATGAGCGAAGGTTGTGTGCCGTAAACTGCAACAAGACCGCAGGCTTCGAGGTAGTTCACGGCCTGCTAGATCGCGTGATGCAACTGCTCTCTGTGCCCTGGAAAACGGCCAGCGGGACCAAGGGATATTACCTTCAAGCTACCGAAGGTAAGTGGCCGAAAAGTTCTTGATATCCTAAGTTACCCATGTTCCACTCGATTTCAGATCCCAGCTACTTCCCCGGTCGCTGTGCTAATGTCATGTACGACGGTGTTGTCATCGGCAAGATCGGTGTTTTGCATCCCACAGTGCTGCAGGCCTTCGAGCTAACCACGCCCTGTTCGGCGGTAGAGTTCACCATTGAGCCCTTCGTCTAAAAGATTGATACAAAATGTTCAACATTGTCTAAAATTTCACAAATGAATGATCACAAATAAATTAAATAAAAGCAATCCCAAACCATTTTAAATCAAACAATTTGTTGTAATTTTTATTTATGCTGTTTAATGTTCTCTTTTATATTTTTCCTTCAATACAATAATAATAATTATAAGAGTAATAATAATCCGTAGTATACTCATATAGTATGTGTGTATTTAATATATGTAGTTTTTTTGTTTTTCTTGTTTGCATTTTATTTGTTTCCATACTTTTCATATTTGAAGTATATTTATATTAATTTTTAAATTAATAAATCTATGTGAATTTAATTTCTTTCGCTTGAAAAAAATTCTATATTTATTCAGTATGCTTTTGTATTTTTCTTGTTTATTCCCATCGTTTTGTTTGCGGTTCAATCAAGGATGCATCATCTCATAACGGCTGTATGTCCTCAGATATTCGGTTGTATCTTTTTGTTAGTCAACAAAATCGAATAAAGGTCCTGTCGGGCATATAGGAGTTTAGGTGTAGGTGTGTGTGTGTGTGTATGTGGTAAATATATTCCTCGCAATTTGTTGTATCAAATAACTTAAACAAACATCTCCACATATTCTCATTACTCATTATTTGCTTGCAGCTAAAACATTGAAAAATAGAAAAAAAGTAGTTTCATGCTTCACTTATATTATCATTTATTTCGTATTTTCATATTCATCATTATATATCGTGGTTTTTGTGTTTCTGTGTGGGATTATGCATGGATTGCTCTTTAAACGGTTCTCTAAGCATTTATATATCATCTCAAGCAACGACGTTTTCGTTTCTCCTCTAGAATTTTACAAAGCAATTGCAAGACGACCCCCACACCTTTGACTTGTGTGTCCCGGGGTCTCCGGATTTCGATTTCACTCGTGCCTACTGGCGGTGCGACCCTGGATCAGGCAAGAAGGGTTTTAGGTTGATCAAGTGTTTTTACATATCTCCTTCGTTAGTTTAGTTTTCGCTCGCGTTCATCAGGGATCGAAATAAAAGTTTGTTTATCTCATATATGCTATTCGCTAGTATATATTTTAGATAGGTATATATTTTATGTACGTCTATGAGCAGTGTCGGAAAAGCATCAAAGATGGCAAGCAAGCGCCGCTTCGTCGTCTCGTCATCTTCATCATCGTATCATATATCTCGTATAGTTTAGTTCTCGTAAATGGAATATTAAAACGTTACTCGACCATTAAGTTATTGATGTTTTACTTAATTATTTAAGCAATTTCAATTTCTACTAACTACATTTTTCGGGTTATCGACCAAGGGTTTCATTCACTTCCGACCAAAGAACACCAAGCTCTGTAGCAGCTCCGCCTCGGATGTTTCGTTCGGATTGGTTTGGTATCTCTGAGGTTGGGAGTAGTATGTATACGTTGTAAGTTGAATTAAGTAATTATCTGTCGGTTGCGGTTTTCGTTTCGTACTTTTTGCGGTTCATATTGCGATTTTGCGTATGCATATGCGTTTTGTTTTCATAGCTTTGTTCTAGTTTCCGGTTTCGTTAGCTTCTTGTTGTTTAAGATTTAAGTTTATCGGGGACAAAACAGGGGGATAGAGAATAGTGCGCGCCTAGAATTTACAGTTTCGACATTCAATTGTTGCCTTTATTAATGTTATTAAATATATATATAGATGTATTTATGTATAAGTGTTGTAATAAAAGTTTGTGTGTACTTTAACTTTAGCTGGCGCTAAACATTTCAATTTAATGTTTCATTCATAAGACTGACTTCTATCTTAAAGTAAATGTATTTGTGTATGTATGGGTGTGGGTGTGTGTTGTGTGCGTGGGAGGGGTTAGTGCATGTATATGTTGTGTGTGAAGAAGATTTACTTTTCGTTTCGTTTCCCTCTAGCTCGACACACAAAAAGCTACCACTAACTTCATGCTTCTTCAAAAAATATCAATACATTTAAAAATAAATAATATATATTGGACCCAGTTGCCTGGGCACCAGTTTCGAACATGTTTTCTTCTAGCATTTTGCTTTTATCATTTCTGCATTTCTTTTGCGTTTTTATATGTTTCTGGTTCAATTTCATATTTTGCCTGCGAAGTTAAATAATTACCCAAATTCAAAAGTTTTTAAATTGATAAACTAAAGAACAAAGCCATGTTTGCAATTTTCCATCTTGCTCTTAATTGGTTTCCACGAAAGTTGGCAGGCAGGCGGCAGTTAGAAGATTTAGGATTGGGGAGAAGAAGCCGAAAATCCGAATAGAAAACGTAGAAATTCAACAAATATTATTTCGCTTTGCATGTTCAAATCAGTGAGATGCTTAAGGTGTTACGGCTGCTACTGATGTTGACATTTCTGCTGGGTCCTGGTAATTTTTGTGTAGGGGTTCTCTCAGCCATAGCTACACGATTCAGGAATCGAAGAGATCCTCCTTCTGAGTTTCGCTGGCACATCAGTTGGACCAGTTGGTGGTATAGTTGGTCCAGGGCATCTGTATAAAAAGGTAAGCATTGCGTTAGTGATATGGATTTTCCAGGCAATGTCATATCTAGTTTTAAAAGAGCTATAAGGCAAATAGTTCTAGTAGCAAGTGTTCACTCACGTGTTTGTCGTGGTGATCCCACACCTC